AAGAGAATTTCTAATCGCGGAAGTGAAGACATAAATGATTTCTTTAAGCCTGACAGGTTTTTCTGCTCGTTAAGTTAGAGGTAAATAAAAAAAAACGTTTCCGGTAGATCGTCTTATCAGATCGACTTAGACACGTGTCGGGCGGAGAACTCAAAATATAATACCGAGAGGGAACACATGTACTCTTCTTTCATCTTTCTTCATGGAACAGATTTCCCTAAAATCTCCAAAAAGTAAATACTAAATTCTAAATTTCATCTATTTCCCACTAGTCAAAACATACACCGTGAAGTATCGACTTTTACATTCAAACAATAAGCACATGTCAAGCTCTCCCAGCTTAAAAAAAGAAAAAAGAAAAAAAAATGTATTTGAAGTTATAACAATGGATTTTCCTTCTCCCCCTCGCGCACAACAAAGACATCTTCTAACTTATCTCAAGTGTTTCAAATTCAGTCGATCTCTGGTCTTTACTATCGCCAACTATAATGTTGTAAATCTGCTTGTTCCGTTAGTTGATAAGTTAGTAAGCACGTGCCTTGCCTCTTGTAATTGCATCAAATAAATGATGGGCCGTTACGAGGAATGACGGAGTGAAAAATATATATCAGAGCCGATGTTTGGTTTCAGTGAGAAAAACAAATCATACTCTGTGGTGATATACAGATTGACCAATTGACATAACCGGAATAGGCAATTGACCAATTGACATAACCGGAATAGGCAATTGACCAATTGACATAACCGGAATAGGCAATTGACCAATTGACATAACCGGAATAGGCAAGCCTTGGTATTTCTTCTGGTCCACTAGCCGTATGGAATATGCTACTTTTCTGACATTTTCATATTTTTTCTACATACAACGTTTGAAAGCACGTGCAATACACTGCCCTCGTCAGCCGCCAACCAGAGGATGTAACAGAATTTCAGTGCTAAAACGGTACTACCACCCATGACGCCACCACCAGGTATGGTGTTGTTTTTGTGTAGTCTCTGTGATTTTCATGCAACTGCAAGTCGGATTTTCAACGTTGACTTAAAAGCGTTTGCTTTTGATCGTTAAACAAAACACAACACGCTCTTAGCGACCAATATCAGTGACGTAACATGGAAGGTAAACAAATGTGTTTCACGTCGGAAGTAGCATTGTATTGCGAGCATGGTTTTAATGAAATCTAATCTAATGTTAAAGGGGGAATTTTCTCTATTACCTGTAATAATTGCCACGAGAAATGCATAGGAGAAACATCAGGGAATTTAGATAAAGGATTATATGGACACAAAAGGAATCTTTTACTAAACAAACATAGTAAATGCGTTAATTAGTCCCTGTTAATGAGTCTGACCATAATTTTGATTTAAAACAATGCTACTTAATTAAAAAAATTTACTAAGACGAAAATGTGCTTTATTCGGTAGATCATCCACAGTAAATTCATGTCTAGATTCTTACAGTATTTCATGCCAAATCTTTTATTATCACAATGTGAGATATTTAATAAGAAAAAGTGATAAATACATAATAGTAAAAAAAAAAGAAACTAAAGGAAATAGGCTAGACAATATACCCAAAACATACATAAGAAAAAACAATTTAAATTTAAAATTTCAGCGTCCTTCTCCTTCGTGTGCATGGATAGTCGCATCAATGTAAGTATCACTTTAGTCCGATGAAATCATAAAGGACGAAACGCGTCTCCCAAAAACTTTTTCCACTTTGTCATAGATTTTCCTAAAATTGTTCGCGATATATAAAATTATTAAAATAAAAAAGCTTTTGTTCATGTATCTTTGCGGATCTCTTAGCAGTTCATTAATCAATTGTCAACTGACACGCGGAAAGACGTTAAAGTTTAGAAATATCACTCAGATAAATAAATATTACAATATCTTGTCCTATAGTCAATAAAGGTTAATCTTAAATAATTAACATTTACAGTCAGAGGAGAGAAAGCATAAAGTTTGAACTAAAAAGTGACTTAGTTTTATTTTTAGAAAAATAATTTCAGAACTCTTATATTTTATATAGATTTTTAAATAATAGAGCTTACGACCATTTCACGTTGAAACACTTCACGATCACCAAAGTTAAGCAAAGTTGAGCTTTGTCAGTACCTAGAAGGGTAACTGCTCAGGAATAATAAGCTTAGATGTACAAGCGAATTAATGGATAGCGTCATGGAAGTGGAAATCAGAATCGTGTTTCAATTCCAGTCGGCTTCGTTATATACACTTACAATCAAATACCCTTGGCAAAAGCTATAACCCCCCCCTTTTCACCGCTAACTTTGGGTTAATTATTAAGACTAATATCAGGTAAGTCATTATTATCTCAAAAAATTCTTAGAATCTAAAAAATATTTGCTGGCTTTTTAAATAACCTACAAAAGGTTGATAAGCCGTAAAACACAATAATTTTTTTTTAAATAATAAAATTACCGAGTGCGTATACGGTAATAATAGAGTCAAGAGAAAAAAAATCTCCTTTGACACACTGTTTTTTCGTTTGGTTCTAAGTTGAAATTTGCCAAAATTTGATGTTTTGTCCCTTCAACCAATTCGGAAGGATACTTTTCTTTGGTATTTGTGAAATATTTTGCGTTTTAGGGAAATATAGTAGAGTGGTTTCCCATTGACTTCTCCACTGTTTGGAATTTAGAGTTTTCCATTTCTTAGACTGATTGCCACCCAAGGGTCGAGAGGGATGCATTAGTTCGAAAGGGTATGCAACAGATTAACCAGGAATTTGAACACGGTTCGCTGATTATACTTTCCGCGCTGATAACCACTTTTCCTAAATAATGAAAAATAATGTCTCGTCACCCGGTGAAATTGTAACCTAAGGTTAGTAGTCTTTATTTTGACCTGTGGTTCAATTTTCAACCATCGGCTTTAATCAAGATAGAATATAGCCGGAAAGAAAACTTGAAAGGATAATCTTGGTCCGTTTGAATACATTAACTGAGATATGTCCGGCTTCTTTTAAATGGTTTAAAGACGAGAATCTAAAATGGCTAAATGACGACAAGAGTGAACATAGCACTAATTGTTGATGACATCTGCCGAAAAAGTGGAAACCAATGGAATTCTGAAGGGTTGTTGCCTAGCGACAAGTGTATCTTCTCACCAGGCGGATCGACAATCTTCATCTTGTTAATGCAAAGTTCATCTCAACAATTGCTTGTTGGCATTGCACAATGTTGCACGCTTACCAACAGAAGCAAAGTGGAAAATCTCTGTGAATTTTTCCATTATTTTCAACTTTTCATTATTATTATTTTTTAATTTCCATACACGGTCTATAGTGTTTACTTTTGTTTCTTTTTATCACAATGTTTCGGCCGCTGTGCCTTCATCAGGTTGTTGTCGATCCGAGTAACCTTCAGGCAATTTTGAACTGAACCTTTTATTTAATCTACATCTGCATATCCCTGTAGATTAAATAAAGATTTCAGTGCGAAATTCTCTGCAGGTTGCCAATACGCCTGATAAAGCCCGGAGAGCATAACGGCCGAACCGCAGTGATAAGAACAACACACATGAAGACAATAGTCGGTATGTAAATAATAACCTATCCCAGAAATTCAGGTAGAAATTATTCTTTTTCAATAGTTTCACTTTTAGTTTTATGTTGAGACCTGAATTAGATTCCGTTTTTTCTGGTGTATTTGTCCAAATCTTCGTTAGATCACCAATCATTTGAAGAACGACATATATTGCGTTATCCGGAAAGTCCATGCCGAATTTTAAGGGAAATTAAAACACAAAACAAAATTATGCCATTAAATATTTATTCACCTAAATATGAAACATTGTGTTTCGCAACCTTTCTCCATTTTTCTTTCAACTTAAAGATTCCATCTACCTGGTAGTTTCTCGGCGAAGAACTCATTAAGGTGTTTTTAATGTCATCCAAAGAATTAAAATTTTTACCATCGAGATTATTTTGCAAAGACCTGAATAAATGAAAATTCGAGGGTAACACATCCCAGCCGTGTCGCCAATGAAGCATGATGTCTGGCACTATCCTAATGGAAAACACCTCTTCTGTTCGTCTTTTCTGAGCATTTTTTTCTTGAATTGCTGCCTTTAATTTCAACCTATTGTGAACAGTACTTTTTAGAATCAATTGACTGATTACATTGGCAGAAGCTCATAATACAGAATTTCTTTCCAATCCTATCAGATACACAGCATGAGTTTCTTAGGATGAAGACCTGATTTTGAGTTTGCTGAAGTTGGCTAATGTCGTTTGGCTGAACTTTGTTGTAAACGATCCATTTCTTATCACCCTTTCACAATTTGCTTAAAAAAGGTGCATTTTCATTGCGTTTATGCAGTAAATCACCGATGAAATGCGACCCAAAAGATTCTTTTCACTCAGATCATGTGGTACCCAAACATCGTAGCGATTTGAGTATCCAAGCTTCACTCTGTGCTCATGGATGGTGAATTGTTGATAAATTTAGTGTTTCTGCCAATTCCTGAGTTGTGTAATGCGGGTTATTCTCAATGTCTTGATTTGGTCGTCATCTGTAGTGTGTGGGGGTTGGGGGTCTGCCTGAGCGTTCTTCATCAATAAGGTTACAATCAACAACTCTAAACTTAGCGACCCACTTCCGTACAGTTCTGTCAGCTAAAGCGCCTTCAGCGTACGCAGCACATACCTTTTTTGTTGATGGCAAGACATTTTTGTCTTTACGGTAAAAAAAAAGGCATCAAGTGTCTACGATGCTCCTTGAAATCTTCTATTTTCATGGGGATGCAAAATTGACACGAATTAAGTAATTTTAAATTTTCTTTCTCAAGAGATTCTTTGAAGTGAGCTCGAATCGGAAAGATAAGGATATTATATCTGTCGATAAATTTGACTTGTTCTAACATGTTAGAACATGGATGACTAAAAATCGGCATGAGCTTTCCGGACAACACAATACATCATAGGTTTTAGGTTCGGGCAAACACACATGACGTCGGCGAAACGCATATTTTAAAAGTTTTTTTCCACTTTTATATCTCTCTCACCCCCCTCCCTCTCTCTCTCTCTCTCTCTCTCTCTCTCTGTGTCTCTCCGTCTCTCTCTCTCTCTCTCTCTCTCTCTATATATATATATATATATATATATATATATATATATATAGAGAGAGAGAGTGAGCGGGAGCGATGATAAAAATATAGTTTTATGGTATGCTATATATTGGTCAAAGTGCTCAATATCAGAGATAGAGCGTATGTAAATATAAAAATAGACACTGAGGAGAATTTTGTTATTTTTGTTGCTGTCGTGTATTTTGTATGCCTTTTTCTTTGCATTGTGGACGAAGTGATAAGCATATTTGAAGTTTTTGAATAGGTTTTCTACGTGTTTCTTCTTTGGATAGGTATTGCGCTGCCGATTCTTAATGCAACATTATCCACAGCAATAAACAAGACAAAAGCAGATACATAACAATAACTTCCAACTTCATAACATTCACAATTCAAACAATTTATCCCATCTAAACAACATCAAAAATAGTTACAACCACTCCCAAAATCATTACGGATATGATCAGAACCCAAAACAGTCATAACAATAATTTAGAAGCAGACATATTCAAAATAAATTGCCAAAATGTTCCTCACAATACATTGGGGAAATAAGCAGAAATTTAGAAAAAAAAAAAAACACAAAAGAGACTTTATACATAACAAATGCACTAGTCATACACAGAAATATATTCGACCACAATGTTGGCCTAAAAATGAGAAAGTAATCAGAAGAAAAGTTCTCGAGAGTGTCGCTATCGAATCTTATCAAAATGTAAATCTACGCCGCGGTTTCTTTCCAATCTCACCTTTCCTGAAAGAATTACTACTTTCCAAAGCCAAAGAACATAAAATGTTATAAAATCAAAAGAAAACGGTTAAATTCATCACCTCATGTTTCTGAAGATGTACAGCATATACGTCTATCCAAAACCGTAACAATCTGATCACAATTTAAACAATATTCATTCATTAAAAATATATATATTTCTTGTATATTACTCGCTTTGTCTCGCAAGACTTTGAATTATGACACTTTTTGTCCTCCACATGTTTTGACTGGTTTTTCAACCACCTGATCAATATTTATGAATGTTCTCAAATTTAGAAGCCTTGTTAAACTAATGGCATCATTGCTCTTATATATAAACACATGAAACAAAATAAATCTTTATATTTGCCTTGATAAAGTCCCTCAGACGACGAGACCCGTGGACAATATCGAAACGAAACTTCTTAGTGAAATGTTTCGTTTCAAGAAGGAACTTCTTCAGACTAATACCATATCAAAGGAGGGAAAATTAAAAGTATATCGTTGAAATAGTATTGGATACTGCAAATGTTTGCTGCACTAAACGTCGTAATGTAAAAATACGCACACTCTTTGCTTTAAATTTAAATATTAACATTCATATGTCTAGATGTTTTACTCATTCAACGTATTTAATTTCCTAACGAATCTGTTGCTGATACAATAAGAAAAACAATACTGATAAAATCGATACATTCATCAAAACACAATATCCGTAACATTTATAAAAAATAGTCGAAAATGCTCTCGTAATATAACTTTTTTAGATATAAAATATTAATAACCAAATTTTATGATGTCTCATAGAACCGAATTCGATTGAAAAGTCGTTTTCCTTTCGTACAATTGTAAGTAGATTTGGAATTTAATTACAACAGCCGCAATCCTAGTTAATCACTAAAAGAATTCAAAACTCAATTTTGAGGAGTGTAATTATTTTTGTTAGTTGTCTTATTAGTATCATCTGCCCTTAGGGAAGCTCTGAATCCACATCTCTTTGCCCAATCTGTCCCATCATTGAATATGACAATAATCACTTGCTGGTATAGCACGATGGTGGATGACGTGGGGAAGGATTAATTGTGCAATTATGCAAATCACATTCTCATAAATAACTGGTCTAAGTAAAAGTAACAGAAAAAGCTGCTACAACGATTGTCAACCATGACAGAAGTGTGAATTCCAATTTTAATGTGTAGTATCACCATCTTCAAATTCAGATTTATACCATATTTACTAACTTTTGCAGAAAATCTGCACAAATAGAATTTTTTTCTTTGTTTCCATTTCGTTATTGATGTTTCCTTCTTTCTTCATTTTTATTGTTAGAATTTTTTCCTTTTTATTTACATTTCTAATTTTTTTATGTTTTTATTGTGCCATTTCGTGGTTTCTATATTATCATTGTTTATTTATTTGGCTTTCATATTCTTTCGCTTATGAGATTTTATATTGTTACTATTTCTTTCCTTGGTTTTTCAATAGTTACTGGATTCTGTTTATATTTATTTTGTTATAAATAGTCTTGATTATTACAGCGTTAATATTACCATTTAGAATATTTGTTATTTCTCCATTAGATTACTATTGCCATTTTTGGTGGGTTTTTATTGCTATTATTTATTTTATAGTATTTCGTTATGGGTTCATTTTTATATTATTGTTTCGTACATTCTTGGTGTTTATGTTTGTTATTATATCTTATTTTCTTGTTGTTTTATCTAATAATTGACTCATTCCTTTTTTAACGGAAATTTTCTGTTTGTTTAATATTATTTCGTTAGATTTCTGTTGTATACACATTTCCGTCCGAGTCCCAAGCACAGGACTAAGGTCAGAAATTACTTCAAGATATTTTGCTCTAGTCATTTTTGTAAAAAACACCAAAAAATTAAAATCACCGAAATTTTACATAGAAAATCACTTCGTATTATAGCGATTATTATTAATAATAATATTTCATTTCCAGATTTTATTTTTAAAATTAATGCTATGTTTGTCGTTATATTTTTTTCATATTGCCACTAATTTTCTTCTACATTTAGATAGTGATATTGATTCTTTTGATGGGTTTTATTTCGGTAACTATTTCATACTTGATTGGTACATTACTATTTTTATTATGGGGTCATACATGTTATACTATTTCATATTTTGCGACTGATTCATTTAGTGAATTGTATATTGCCATGATTTCCTTCCTCGATTCTTATATTGTCTTCGCTTCCTTTCTCGGTTCTTATATTGTCATGGCTTAACTTTCCTGTTCTTATAGTCATCGATCATTTATCAGTTCTTATATTGCCACAGCTTCATTTCTCGGTTCTTATATTGTCATCGCTTCCCTGCTCTTTTCTTATACCGTCAGCAATTCTTTGTCGCTTCTTATATTGCCATCGCTTATTTCTCGGTTCTTATACTGTCATCGCTTCCATTCTTGGTTCTTATATTGACATCACTTCAATTCTAGGTTCTTATATTGACATCGCTTCCCTTTTCTTTGCTTATACTGTCATCGCTTCCTTTCTTGATTCTGATATTGTCATCGCTTCACTTCTCAGTCCTTATATTGTCATCACTTAATTTCTCGGTTGTTATACTGTCATCGCTTCCTTTCTCAGTTTTTATATTTTCATCTTGAATCATTTCTTGATTCTTAAATGGTCATCTCATCCTTTCTCGATTCTGAAATTGTCATCGCTTCCATTCTCGGTTTATATATTGTTATAGCTTCACTTTCTCGGTTTTTATATGGTCATCGCTTCCTTTCGCGGTTCTTACATTGTCAACGCTTTCTTTATCTGTACTTATACTGTCATTGCTTCCTTTCTCAGTTCTTATATTGTTATTCTTCATTTCCTTCTTCTTCGGTTGCTGTTCATTCTTTTCTTTCTTTTTTTTATGATATTATTACTTTTTACTTTTTATATTGTCTCCTTTCTTGGTTTCAAATTTCTCTGGCGCAGTGGAATATCATTTGCATATCACTTCTTTCAAAGTAGAATATACCCATAAAATATTCGATTTGCTTGCTGCTCGATCATTTATTGCATGCAGTATTTTCTTTTATTAGTCAAATAATTCTCAAAGGACATTAATTTAAATAACATTTTCATGATGATCGTTTCTGTTTATAGTCTCTGAAAGGATTTCTGCTGTTGTTTTCTATTAAGATAACGCGCAGGAAATTGTTGAGACTTGAAGGCTAACTTCCGGTTTATTCATCTTTTATGCGCCCAATCTCCTTACAAAATTGGTCATCACGGCTCTCAACAAATGTATCATCCTTGTGGCTGTAAGCCTCGTTTGACTCTTTACTTCCTTTATTTCTCCCTACTCTAACTTCGAGTGACAAAATCCTATTAAACAGGTTTATTCTGCCTCTGTTGCTGGCAATATGCACTCTGAGTATTAAATTCACCAAACCCGTTTTCCTCATTATGCGTCCTAGAGATTTCAAATGTGGACAATATATTCTAGAACAGGGTGATGCATATTACTCCGAAAAATGATAGTCACCGTGAAGCCATCTCTCCACTTTCGAGTACTTCTTGTTTATTTAATCGGTCATGGCATGGTTTGATTTAACTTCTTGCCCTAAAACTAATTATTTATCCAACCCGCCTCTTATCTTCTCTCAATTCTCGATACGGTTTCAAATAATATTCACGTTAATCATGCTTAATCATCTGCAAGTTAGAAAATAAAATCAACTGTTTGTTTTTGCTGAACAGGTAAAGTTGTTATTTGTCTATTTTTAACTCCGACCATACACTCTGATAAACTGATGAAATCAATTTGTATTTGAACGGTTTAGTTGGGGAAGGTCTGCTTTTGGATATTTCACTTTACTGGAAGGATCAGAGAGAGAGAGAGAGAGAGAGAGAGAGATCTTTCAGTCTACCTTTAGTACGGGAAAAAGCAGATAGAGATTCGTTTTTCGCCCTCCCTACCGTGCAAATTCTGGCAGGTGTCCGTTTTCACCAATGGTCCTTTACTGTTATTAAGTACGTTGCTCGTAGACTGCAAGAGCCAATTATTTCGCTTCTTCACATAATGAACTGAGATTTAGGACACCTGAGAGTTCTTGAAAAACAGCCATATTTTATAGATATATTTTACTCATTGTAGAATCCTTATCACCACGTGTCCACTGTTTACACACTGTTCCTAAACTGTAACCTCGTGTAATTTTCCTCCTTTTGGGAATGTTATCAAAGAAAACTTCATATATATTCACGTAAGCTAACAATTTGTTAACACTTTTACATATTTAGACTCACAGTCTTACTGCTACGTTTGCCTTTGTCATATTAATTATTATCCTTTTATTTATTTATTATTCAGACTCAACCAGTCTCAAGTTTGTACTTTTTTCTAGTGTTGCCTTTTGGTATTTAATAAACTGGCTGATGAACCGGACTTTGTCTTCAGAGTTTTAATTGCTTTAAACATTTATCTGGCTGTCTTCACGTACACACGTGTACGAGACGGACGCGTACGAGACAGACGCAGAAAAAAATTTAAGCAGAAATATTACAACCTGAAAAAAAATGCATTGTCCATATAAATATAGATTTGTATCAACATTTGTCATTAATAATTTATTCTGAAAAAATTAACTTGCACAATAAAGTCTAACATAATTTAGACTTTATGTGGGCGCAAACACATATAGTTGAATATCTTTTCATGCGATTGTCATCATTATTCTGATGTCAAAGAACGAATTTGGTAAAAATTCAAAATTTTTTAAAATAAAAATTACAAGTTTGACATTAAACCACAATGATTATTCGAGTTTGCTACTTTGTGTAACAGACACCTGAGAGAAGGCTTGGCTGATCATCAAAATCTTAACATCTTCAAGTCTAAGGTGAACCGTTATCTATATATATATATATATATATATATATATATATATATATATATATATATATATATATATATATATATATATATATATATATATATATCCTCATAATCTGCGCTTAATTCTTCCTCTTACGTCCTACATTGAGTGGCTCTTGGGCTTTGTACGGGTGAGCATTTATTAAGACAAAAAGGGGAGTGAAGCATTATTGAAAAGTAAACTGATACACAGATTAAGAAAATCTTTAACTGAAATGCCAAAGATTATGTTAATACCTGCTACTCACCAACATTAGTCCAATAATCTCAATAACTACCTAAGAAAAATCATTTACCTCAGTTCTCAGATGAATGATTTGGTAAATGATTGTATCAAAGAGCAAATAAATAAAATGGAAGAAATTTTTGCAATTGTTGCTGTTGGGAAAATGAAAGGAAAATAATAGCGTAAAACACAAAGAGAAATAAAACGCCCGGGAAAGAAGTCTTTGATACAATGTTTAAAATTATGTTTACAAAACTTTTGATACTGGTTTCGGTAATAACCAGTAAATTAAACTAAGTATAAAATCCAATTCAATTTTATCCACGACACGTCTCTGAAAGTGAAATGAGATCACTTTAGGATATATGGGAAATAGTTGAACAGAGATCGAAAAATCGATCAATCCATTTCGTGAAATACATCTGTTGGATGATATGGCACACATCATCAGTTATTTTTTCAGCCGAGGTTCATTAGGGGTTTCGGGTCTTTCAACATCATATCCCCTCCCCACTGTGACACAGCTGATACTGATCGGGTATCGACTTGTTTGCCATCCGTCGGCAACAACTTTTCTCATTTTTTTAATCATACTCTGCTACTTCCCCATTGATATCCGTGATTGGCATTGGAATCTAAATAGAGTGATATCTACAAATATCTAAAGGCATAGTTTCACTGAGAGACACCTGCACAAAACTCGAGAGATAGAAAAAAGACAGGTAAGTAGGTAGGTATATAGTAACTGAAATAGATAAAATGATTGATGTAAACATTGATAATAATAAATAAACATGAAAGACTAAGAGAGATACAATTTGTGCTAAATAAAACTACCGTCTGGAATAGTTATGAACAGGTTCAAATAAACTTGTAGTTTAATACACGTGAAAGAAAATAATACTGCCGCGGAAAAATATTTCTAAAATAACTACCGTGCCAATCAAATAAGCACAATGCCTTGGGGAAAACTAAAATAAATAATTTAATCGTGTAGACACTTTTATTTATTCATATTTTTAATTTTATTTTTATTTATTTAGTTATTTAATATTTGTTTTTTCCTTAGTACTTAAGAAAAGCTTGTGCAGATGTCATTGCAGCGTGGGTATCATAGATTTTAGAATGTGAAATTAGAATATGAAATTAATCACTTCTGCAGTATTCTGTATTTTTCCCTTTTTCTCTATCAGATGCCGTCTCTAAAGAAATTCAATTTCTTCAATTCGTTCAGAGACGGCATCTTTTAAAGTCGACTTTTGCATTTGACTTTTGACATAACTCATTTTGAGATCACAAGAGATTTTATGTGTTTTTTTAATGTTAGATAGGTATATAGATAGACAGATAGATAGATGAGGGATGCGATTCGATTTCGAGCAATATTTATACTTGATCCCTCCTCTAATATGGGAAAGGCAAATGTATCTTTTTTTAGTCCTGCCAGGGTCTTATATACTCTTACGTAGACGTGAATGTAAGACCCTCACATATCGTAGATAGATAGATAGATAGATAGATAGATAGATAGATAGATAGATAGATAGATAACGAACATATGGATAAAAAGACAGATACATAAAAATATTGAGATAGATAATGAACTTATTGAGATAAATAGAAAGCGAACATATTGAGAGAGATTGAGTTGGAATAATATTTTTGGTTAGTATGGTAGGAATGAAAATTATAGTTCTTTTCTAAGTTGATAATTGTCAATATAAATACAGAGAATTATTATGAGTTTTCGGACAAGACAGTTCTTTGAGTAGCACAGATTGCAACCATGATACTAAAGAGTATATTCACGTAATACAATGGTCTCTCCAATTCTACAAACATGAATATTAAGCAACTCACCCCAAAAACTTTTCAAGTACACCAAATTAATAGAATGGCTCTCAGCTTCACCAGATATTAATCCAATAAAATGTTCGTCATCAATATATATATATATATATATATATATATATATATATATATATATATATATATTAGTTTACAGTACTACATGCCTATCAAGACGACTTACATTACACCAACACGAACATACAGATAAAAACAATAACATTAACATCTACAAATGCCAAATACATGTGAACTATAAGCAGGATGAATTTTGTCATAGAAATATCATTAAGAAATACACAACTACAGTAGACGCGATCAAGTAAATTAAATTACAAAAAAATTAAAACAGCTAACCTTATCATCCAAAATAACAACACACCCGCAAAATCAAAATAACAAAGAACCAATATTATTTACGAGTTCAAATGCCACTTAAGTAACAGTTTTCCTGATTAAAGCGGATTCATAAATAATTACATTGGTCACACTTCTACATGCATATCTAGACGAAATCCTACCAAACTCCACCCAAAACATACTAGAAGAAAATACAAATATAATAGCGTCATCCACATGTAAAAAAGAGTAAAAGTAA